CGGCTGCTATGTATGTATGTATGTATTTATTTATTGGGTTTTTAATTGGTTTAATTGATTTTATGATTGTTCATCACCCACAATCACTTGCTTGAGATGGGCGGTTTACAGACAAACAAACAAACCTATTTGCTTTGAAAAGGATAGAGTATTTTGAGCTTCTTAGCTTGGAAAAAAAGGTGACTTAGCCTGGAATGATTGAGATATATAAAATCATGAGAGGCAAAGCAGACATTTTCTCCCTCTCTCAAAATATTAAGCTATGGAATCATACAATGAAGTTGAAGAAAATGTTAGTACAGACAAGAGAAAACACTTCTTTAAGCTGGTACAGGATTAACTTTTGAATTGATGACAGCAAGATGTGTGATGGTCACTAACCTGGATTGCTTGATAAGGTAATGGATAAAATTCATGGACACACAATGTTACCTCCAGTTTAGGGATAGCATACTTCCCATAGAGGTTGCAGGGGAACAATAATGGGAAAGAGGTATATTTCCAGTTTTTTGCTTGCAAAGACCACAGGTGGATCCGGTTTGCTATTGTAAGAAACAAAATATAGGCCTAAGATGGGCCTGGATCAGGAAAGCCATTCTTATATTGTTTTTTATGAGTTTCCCCAAGTTTATTGGAAGGTCATTAGGCTCCTTCGATTTTAAATTAACTTTAGTGCAATAAAGCCAGCACTTTTCCTCTATATTCAGACTACAAGCTGAATCGCTAGCTAGCTTTCATCCCTAACTCTGATGTGATTTATTATTTAAAGCTGGAGAAAGAATCCAAGCCAGTGAAAAGCACGAATATACTTTTGTGAAGGCTCCCACCACCCCAATTTCCTAGTCTGACAAACCTATAATGATCAGCAAAACTGTCTCTCTTCTTCAGTTTGGAGGTAGATAGATGATAGATGATAGATAGATAGATAGATATAGATAGACAGACAGACAGATAGATAGATGATAGATAGAAAGAAATGTATGATCCATCAGGTTTATTCTCATTTCACATTTGAGATTCACATTAAGAAATGCTAGGAAAAAAAAAAAGATAAATTCACACATACATCATGAATGGATATGATTTTGTTTTTAGATTCATAAGATTTTAATTTATTGTCCACTGAGACAATAAATTTTAAGCCAATGACAGGTTTACAGTTGTTTTTCAAGTTTTCAAATTCCTAAAAAGAACATAATTAAAAATCAAGGGGGGGGGGACTAGAGAAAATGGTGGTAATATTTAAGCCAGGTCTGTTTCAGTTTTTACTTCTTCCAATGTATTCCTTTTATAAGAAACAGATTTTCAGGGCATAACTGATAATCACATGTCACATGACCAATTAGAGAGAAATAATATGAAATGTGTAGTCTCTGTTCTGCTGAGCCCCTATACATGTCCTCAGCATATTTTGGAAAGAAATTACCTTCATTCTGTTGTGCTTGGTCCTCTTAAATTGAACTCTTAGAGAGAGAAAAGACTATCATAAATTCCCTTACCCAACCACAGTGCTTATTAACTCTGCATTGGAAGAATATATTAAATGTTAGAGACAATTTTTGTGCAAAATGAAGATAAGGGTATGCCCTCTATTAAATGTCAAAACCTTTCTTCCATGTTCACACTGCAAAAACAAAAGGGGGGGAAAAAAAGAAAACTGTCCCATTTGAAACAGTTCAAAAACTTATACATATAATCTCATTGCTCAAAAATAAGATAAGAATAAGAAATTGTCTATGTTTATCTGTAAAATCAAACTGTACTGAAGAAACATTTGACCACAAAGACTGCTAAATAATGGAACTTTTAAAAACTTGGAAGTGCCAGGAAAATCTTATTTCATTTCAGATGAGTCTAGTGTTGCTAAACTAACACCCTTTGTCTCTCTCTCATCACAACTGCAATTATCCTCTGTGTTCTAAATCTATATTTGCAGAAATTTAATTAGGATTTAAAAAAAAAAAAAAAATCTCAATTAGCCATTACAGGAAATGACAGCAAGGCCAACTCTCAGCTACATAATATGAAAGACTACCAAATTACAGAATGTGTCAGCAACTAGCAAATGATAAACTTTTATCATTACAACATGATCTTTATAATGACACATTTTTTTGATTCCCATTGAGCTAGATAATCAGATCAATAGGGTGCAAACAATTAGCTAGTAACAAAAACAACAACAACAAAAAAGGATTTCATAAACTTGAATACACCCATATTTCTAAAACACTTATCGTACTGTGGTATGAACATTTTTACTTAGCAAAATATATTATGGTTTCTGAAAATGTATTTGCCATTTTATGGCAGGAATTATGTGAAGTGAAAGATTGTACGAAGAAATGTATAAGGTGCATAATTTATTTGTTCACTTATAAATTTTTTTGTGTTCTGAAACTTTTCTCAATAAGTACTGGGCAATGCAAAGTTAGTGGTGGATGTGTTCTGGGGAAAAAACAACAACAGTGGTTGAATTTCTTCTATTAGGAGTAAATATAATTTCTTCCGTCAGGAGTAAATAGCAACTTTACATTAAAATCACAGGACTGATTTTGACCTTTTAAAATCATGATTGGTTGCTGTCACAAACTGTCTTCCATAGTAGTTTTGTTTGTATGAGCCTGACTATGAAGATTTGTAAGAGGACATTGATGACTTGCTTCTTGCCACAGGCATTGGATTAAGGATGGAGTGGGATCCCACTAATTGCATTGTAATTTTGAAGTATATAAACTATTGCCTCCCTGCTGTGGTTGTTTGTGACCATCCTTCAATATATTTTTACTATTTTATATGTTTTGATCTTTTGTAAGATGTTCAGAGTCACTGGTGAGTGGGTGGCCTTAGAAACATACCAAATAAATAAAGAAATAAAATGCCCCATCTCAAAATACTCATTTACCAGAAAGTAATCCATCGAAGTTGTTCCCTGCCTTTGCATCTAATCCATTATATCTCCATAGCCAAACTTGGTTTGTTTTTGTTTTGTTTTTTTCTGGACAGTTGTAGTCACAATTTTTTTTTGTTTTTATTTCTGAAGAACTATAATGGATGACATAGCCAGAGTATCATATGCCTGCTTCTATCTGGCACCTCTATGACCTTATCTTGGTTTCTATTTCTTAGTCAAATGGACTTTGATGAAGCTAAGAGTAGACAGAATAACTGATGGGTGTTTAGGGACAGGGAAGAGGGCAGATTCGTATCACAGAATAATTTTTTAAACATTGCTTTAAAAAGCAAAGAAACATATAAATAACTGAAACTTTTAGAAAAGAATAGAATAACATCTGATCCACACATATAATCTCTATATCATAGCACTTGGTAGACAAAGTATACAGTTTCCACTGGGAAAAGGGGAAGAAGGATGAACCAATTTGCTGGTTTCATTTAATCAGTTTGAAAATGTTAAATCTAAGTCCATAAATTCTTATAAATTCTACAAGTGTATCAATACTTTTGTCACTAATCTGATGCTAATTAATGATACATTTCACAACACTTATCTATAAGAAGGGCAGCATTAATCCATGGGAAGATTTTGATAAATTATAGTTCAACAACAGAACACAACTGACTAAATAAAAAAAACATATATACTTGGGCTACCATGCAGCTAGTAATCTCGAGTCATTCTACTCAATAAGTACTGATAAAATTAATTTCATACTTCTCCTACACACACAAACTTATTCTGAAAAAAAAAGAGGAAAGAATGATTCTATATTAAGACACTTCAGGAACTCACTGCAGTGACTCAGATAAAATTATATTTGTTAACTGAAAGCATGGAAATTGCACATTTTGTACACATTGCTTGTTCTTTGCACTCTGTTTTTTCTAAATATGGAAACATAGTCTTATAAGGATCTAAATTCTGCTTTACTACTTAAATTTTGTTAACGTTTGGATAATGCCAACTGGCATGGGGTGAAAAAAGGGGCAACCAACCCTGGGGGTGGCTAGCACCTTGAAGATGCTCCCATATGTTAACATCTTACTGATCATCAACATCTTGGAAGATATTATTATTTGTATATGTGTTTGGTTTTATTCTATTTTTACTGTATATTTATTGTTGTTTTATTGTGAACTGCCCAGAGTCACTTCTTCTTGAGATGGGCGGTATCTAAATTTGAAAAACAAATAAATAAATAAGCCCCAACTAAATAGAATTTGGGATGTTCAGCTATAAATCACAGTATCACAGGAAAGCATACTGCTACCATGATCATTTCCAACAGAAAACCTCCAATAGAAAACTCCAATAGAAAACTCCTGATTAACAAACAACACTTTTGTCATTTTTATTTTTTCCTTTGCATTAAAGGCATCCCATTTGAAGCAATAACTATATACTTTGTTCAGAAGTTACAATTAGGTCTCCTTCACTGGCTGTGTTCTAGCACACACTTGACAGTTGTCTGTCTTGGATACTTGAATTTGGATTTCTGCAATCAATGGTGCAGAACTTGATAGCCTAAATGGCCGATTCTAACTGTACCCTATGATTCTATGATTTTTTTTCTCATTCAGTCATTTAATTTATGAAAGCAACTTCCATCACTATACACTATCCCTCTCTATCTTACACACACATACACTCATGAGCTCAGAATGATGTCTAATACATTTCTAAGTTTACAACACAACCAACATTAGTTTTAGAAAGGTAACGTAAAATATTTTTAAACACTACAAATAAAATTAATTGCAATAATTGTCAATGCACATCATATCAATAATAAAGTACTCACCATGTATAATAAGAACATACTCTGCACTGTTTAGGCCAATAGAGTTTTCTGCTTCACATCTGTAAGTACCATTGTCCGTTCTATTTAGGACATTAATGTTTAGCTCCCTACCATTGACAACCATTCTTTCAGGATCTGGTAATTCTCCACCATCCTTTGTCCATAATACTGGATCTGGCCTATGAAAAATACATGATAAACCAAAATAATATTATTATTATTTCTTTATTTATATACTTATTTATATATATCATACATATATCATACATACATATATACCAAATTAACCCAACATAGATTCTTTATGCAGCAACTGTAAGAGCAATAAGAGAGCCAGTTTTGGGTAGTGGTTAAGGCACCAGGCTAGAAAATTGGAGTTTGTGAGTTCTAGTGTTGTTTTAAGCACAAAGCCAGCTGGGTGACCTTGGGCCAGTTACACTTTTGAAAAGATTGGTAGATATAAATGTACCAGCACTTGTTAATCATCCAAAGCATGAGGGAAGAACTGACTGATTTAAATTCTTGGAATCTAAACTTCCTCTATCCACATGAAGACTCCAGCTGGCATATTTGCTTTAATATCCAATGATTTCAGTGGAAGAGGACAGTTTAAAAAAGTGAACAGTGGGAAGAAAAATCTATCAAGAGTTCAGTTCTTCCCATTTTTCTAATTAATTGCAGCTCTGAATATTGTTGTGGATTACACGTATGATATATCTCCTCCTGCTCCAGTAGGATTATTCTGTAATTTATTATAACATCATAAGAATTGAATATCTTTCACAGTTAGAGATTATCTCTCAGTTATATGACACACTGGAAATGTCATTCTTTCCCCAAGTAATTTTATTAAAGATTGTAATTACAATAGCAAAAACTAAAAGACAGATAGAAAAATAGAAAGAAAGACTAAAAGGTGCAAAGGGAAAAAATAGGAAAGATATAAAGAATAGAAAGAAAAAAGAAAAGAAAGAAAAGTAAGAATGTAGTAAAAAAATAAATAAAAGAAATATATAAAAAAGTGACTCCCAACCTTCATCACAAGTATAAATAATTTTAGTAATTTTTCACCTCCTATTAAATTACAACAAATGATCTCTTCTTCCCATATCCCATGTATAAACAAATCCATAAAGCATCATCATTTCAGTCCTGGTGTTAGCAAAAATCCATTAAGGGTTACCAGAAATAACAACATATCTATTTTAATGTTGATCAAATAACCAACTTATATTCCTTCTTTTTACTTCTAACGATCTTGATCTTTAGTCCACACAAACAATTTTGACACTGGAAATGTCTAACCCTCAAAGGCTATAAATAAATATTCAGATACAGTTTTCTGGATGAATTCAAGTTTCTCAATGAAAAGGACAAAGAAAAATATATTTTAAAGTATACATTTTTCCATATTTGTACACTGAAAAATTACTAATTTTTTAGAAGCAATGTGTAAAATATGGACTTCACAATTTCATTTGGTTGATGATATGCTATTGTTGTTGCTCACAGAGTCAGCCAGATATTTAGACTGGATTAGGCATTTTTATACACCTATCGAGTCCTTCCCAAGGACCTGTGATAAGCAGATGTTGTTGTTTGATAATATTAAAGGTATTGTCTCAGGATATAACTGGTCCAAGTAAAGGTGTCTTTTGTAATTGACTGATGGTGATTTTGTCAAAGCTGATGGTCTTCAGGTGGTACTCCAAATGTTTTGGGATTGCAACTAAGGTACCTATATCTATTGGTACTATCTTTGCTTACTTTTGCCACAGTCATTCTATTTTTATTTGTATGTCTTGATATTTTGTGATTTTCTCTGGTTCTTTCTCTTCTATTCTGCTGTCTCCAAGTATTGCAATGTCCACTATCCAGATTTTTTGTCTTCCTTATCAATAATTGTTATGTCTGGGGTATTGGGTGGCAGGTGCTTGTCTGTTTGAATTCTAAAGTCCCTGTCAGGCCCAGCCCAAGAACAACAATGAGGTGGTCCAGTCCAGTATAGGTCCTTTATTAGCTTGCACCTAATAGACAGAATCTCGCCAGACTAAACCTATGCCAAAGCAACTAGTGGATATACCCTGTGAAACTCTAGGGAGGGGCCAGTCTCAATTTCTTCCTATTCTCACAGTCCTGCTGTGGGCTGAGGAAGTGTTTGCTCTGTAACCTCTTCAGGAATGCTCCCCCTCCCTCCTGATAACCTTGATCCTCCATTCCGGTATCCTCCTTGCACATGCCTTCCATTACAGTCCCAGAGCACTTTATCTTCTTCATTTTCTATTACTTTTGTGGTCCCATCAGTTCTTGCTTGCAGGCAAACGATATTTCTTGCAGATATTCCAATGCACCATTGTTGCTACTTTGTCTTGCCGTTGTTCATAGTCAGTCTGTGTGATCTTCTTGCAGCAGCTAACTAGGTGGCCCACTGTTTCTTCAGCTCCTTTGCAGAGATGGCATTTGCTGTCTGTTGCTGTCTTCTCATTATTATTATTATGGTTGGTTGCACAGTCAGCCACACGTTTTGACTGGATTTGGCATTTTTATCCACCTATCAAATTCTTCCCAAGGACCTGGGATAGGTAGATGTTGTTATTTGATGTTGTTAATGATATTGTAACAGGATATAAGCTGTTCCAAGTAAAGATGCCTTTTGCAATTATTATTATTATTTTAAAATACACTTATAGAGCCATGAATGAAACCAATATTGTATCATATGCTATTATGATCACTGGAATCTATCTATCTATCTATCTATCTATCTATCTATCTATCTATCTATCTATCTATCTATCTAGCTATCTAGCTATCTAGCTATCTAGCTATCTAGCTATCTAGCTATCAATCATCTATCACATTTATATAGCCACACATCTCACTAAACATGACTCTGGGTGGCATACAAATAATAGTTAGAACAATATCACAACTATTAAACACTTAAAAAAAACCCCAAGACAATAAAAAGAAGATTGCAGAAGAACAGCCATCTAAATAGAATACAACTATTGGAATAGTAGAAAACAGGTACTGTGGTATATAAATCAGTTTCATAGTTTAATACTGGGATAAAATAATAACTCCTTTAAAGCAATAATTCAAGGCTTTAATTCATTAATGAAGTCAATAGACACACTGATTACAATATCAAAAAAAAGTGGAAAAGTGGATTTATGGTAACAATAGAACTAAAAGGTTCTCCACCCCTTTATTGACACATTGTTGAAAGTTGCAGTGGGAAAAAGCTACAGAAAAGTTGAATACTTCACAATAACCATGAAAGAAAATGAAAATATATTTCATTTTCAAGTGCCATAAAATAAGATCAACTGGAATAAACTTTGGTGGAATTGGGTAAGATAATTGTTAAAGGTTTGACATAGTTCTAAGGAGAACTACAAGAAGCTGAAAATTCTCTCATGCACACAAAAAAATTGAGATGGTTGGAGAAAAACTAATGCTGATTACTATATATTATAAATTCTATTATGGAATACCTATTTTGAAACACTCTATTCTGAAGCCTCTGGATAAATGGTAATATAAATACAAAATATATTTTTGTAATAGGTAACAGAACAGAACAATTAATAACAATAAATAACACTTTTAGTGCCATAATATATTAAATATAATAATTTCAGAAAACAATGTGAAAAATGACTACGTTCCTTATATAGGCATCTCAGTTCAAGCATATATTTACAGTGATAGTACAGATATTCTAAGGTATACAACATACTCTGTATAACATACTCTGCCGTAATAAAACTGAAAATGGAAAACTGTATTAAATATTTAAAGATATTTCACAGGATATAATAGTTTAAGCAGGCAGAACAGATATATAAGAAGCCTAGTATATAGTTGAGGAACACTTGAATCATTTTAATAATGCAGTTTAGATGAACAGCCGTTTAAATTGGAAGTCTACCACTATCACTAACCAGAACAATTTCCTCCATTTTGCATTTACTCTGAACACTGAAACTAGCAGATGATGTTGGGAAACAACTTTATAGAATTACACAAAATTATGTCTGTAAATAATGAAATAGAAGAATTAAAAATCACAAAAACAATGCATGAATTGTCATACTGCATGTATGCATGAATGCCAACATGGTATGAGTGTGGGAAATTTTTTATTGAGATCCACATCATAAGTACAGTGGGGCAAAAAAGTATTTAGTCAGCCACCAATTGTGCAAGTTCTCCCACTTAAAAAGATGAGAGAGGCCTGTAATTTTCATCATAGGTATACCTCAAC